TGGAAGGCATGACTTAGTTAATCTCACATTTTGTGTTTAAATACCCAATTTTGGTTTAGTAACAATGCCTCCTTGCAGGAGCATAAACCATATCATTATGCCATTTACATAAATCCAGGATTACCTGATTCTGTGCTGCTTTATAATTAAGAAAGTTCTTTGCAATCCTCTTTTGATTATGAAAGAATATAAATATTTCCTCTACCTTCTACAGAAATGAGGACATACTTATTCGGTATCAACATTTTGCTTTTATCATAATTCGATGCTCTGTTTTTATACAAAATTTATTGCTTGCTAACTTAATAGTGACAAATTCAGCCCACATAAAACATCAGGGATATCCTGAGGCATAAAATTAAAAACAAGGTGGTCCCATATCCTTCATGGGAATAAAGATATAAGTAGAATTGGCTTTAAGTAGTAAAATATTTGCTGTAGTTGTTAAAAATGTGTTGTTTCCCACAAATCATGGAAACACTGAGGTGGAAGGACTCATTTAAAGTTATTATTTAAAAAAAATAAAACAAAAACTAAGTTCACAGATACAGAGAACAGACTGGTGATTGCCAGAGGTGAAGTGGTTGGGAGATGGGCAAAATGGGTGGAATCAAAAGGTACAAACCTCTAGCTATAAAATAAATAACTTCTGGGGATGTAAGGTACAGCAGGGTCATATAGTTAGCAGCACTGAACTGCATATTTAAAAGTTGCTAAAAGAGTAAACCTTAAAAGTCCTTATCACAGGGAAAAGATTTTTTTGTATGGTGAAGGATGTTAACTAGACCTATTATAATAATTTTGCAATAGACATAAATATCAAATAAAAAGTTTAACATATAAAGTTATTTTTATATCCAGATGCAGGTCACATTACCTCTTCTGTTAAAGTGTGTTATCAAAGTAATTTTTAAGGCGTTTACTGGGAAAGAGATTCCGTGACCTCCAGGTAGCTTGTTTCTGTTATTAAATGTAGAGGAAAGCTGCTTACTGTGACCTGAAAAATAAACTCATATAGTCTTCAAAATAGGGGCAGATCAAGTATGTGCATTCTTTCATCTGTCCCTACCTTTTTATTTCTCTGTCTGTATCTTTCAGTCATAATATATGTATGCCAACATTGTACTGCTTCTTTAATCTTTAGAATTATATTTGGATTTATGATCTTTTTATTTTATAATTTTCATTGTTTTCTTTCCCATTTTTCATGTTCTACTTAAAGCCTTAGATCTGAAAATAAACAGATTATTCTCAGAAACTAATGAGTATTAATATTGCTGAATGATATAGACCAGCTTTTACATTTGTGTCACTTATTCTATGGTCTTAAGGAAGTTACTTTGATTCTCTGAGTTTCTGTTTTTGTGGCTGTAATCTCAAAGTTACCATAAGAGATAAATTAGAATATAACTCTCTTGGCTGTCTGGTAGACCTCAAAAGTGTCATTCTTCCTTTTTTGGTAACTGCATCCTTTTGCATTTTAGACCATCATTATGTTGAGTTTTAATTATACCTGCACTGTACTTAGATTTGTTTGTTTTGCATTTGTTTAAAAAAAAAAAGGCAATATATAAAAGAAAAAGAAAGCAAAGACACCAACCTGTGGAATGGTCTGTGTCTTGTCTTGGGGGGGATCATGGTGAACTCTGGATCAGGCAAAGCAGAAGGAATCTCAGTATTCTTTGTGGAAGATGTGTTGTTTCTGGCACCTGAAATTTAAATGATTACCTTCTTTTCTCATCAAATATCCCCCTTACGTAAAAAAAAGGTCTCAGACTATGTTGTTGAGCAAGCGCTAAATCATGTGATCTCTGATTCACAATTACTCTTGTAGACTCAGTAAAGCAGTTGGGAAAATACTGGATTGCCAATAACAGGAAGGAAAGATCCTTAACTTTTACTTAATTGCTAGTTGTTTCTTAATCACCAGTTACATCGAAGCTAGTCAGTTGAATGTATTCATTTACACCTTACTTGACTTTTGAAAATTAGAGAGGAGAAACTGATCTTGCTGTTTTTATTCCTTCACCTTCTAGGAATAAGAGGAACTGGTGATATTTTTGGAATTTACCTGCATGGTTTTCATTTTCCTGGAGTTGATCTAGGACATCTGAGTTAAGCCATCCACTTTTCTTCACTCAACATTCACTGGAATCCAGTTTCTGCTTACCTTACCCCAGGTCCAAGTTGAATTGTCTGTATTTAAGAATGAGGAGGGTCAGCGAAACCAAGATGTGAGGCTCTGAAGGGACTTGTTTTGTGGTATCCCTTCAAAGGAAGACAAAAATAACAGACATTTGTTGTTGTTGTTCAGTTACTAAATTGTTTCTGATCTTTTGTGACCCCGTGGACTGTAACCTGCCAAGCTCCTCTGTCCGTGGGATTTTCCAGGTGAGAATACTGGAGTGGGTTGCCATTTCCTTTTCCAGGGATCTTCCCAACCCGGGGATCAAACCTGTGTCTCCTGCTTGGCAGGCAGATGCTTTGCCACTGAGCCACCTCACACATTTACGGGCAGACAGACTCACTGCAGGGGCTAATGGCTGTCACCAAAGTCATCTTACATTTTTGTCATCATGTTAGGCTAGAAACCTTACCTTCTCCTCCACCTTTTCTCTCTTGAGTCTTCATAGGGTGTCAACATTTTCGCCTGAGAGACCATTCCAGATTACCCAATAGATCATAAATGAGTTAAATCATCCAGTTAATAAAAATCTGCCCTGACCTCATCCAACATCTATTTCCACCTGAAGAAGAGATCCCAAGTCCCCATGTACTTCCTGTTGGGGAGGATTCAGAAAAAGTGTCAGCTTTAAAAAAAAAAAGGGAAAAATACTGATCAAAATACACATGCAATCACTTTCTTACATCATATTTCTTAACAGTTATTAACTGCAGAGAGTAGTTCAGTTTTTGCTAAATGGTTAAGGAAGAACTCATAAATTTGTTGCCAAGCAGTTTTATTATAACAATGTTACCACTCTATAAGTTTTAATATATACTGTTTAAAATTTATAATACATCAAGTAACAAGATAGTTTTTAAAGAGTTTTTCTGCTTAAAACATTTTTTATTTTTAGTGAAAAAATACAGATACATTTTTGCTTTGAATTTAATTTTACATGGCAGATTAAAATTACAGGTCCTCTTAGATAAGAGTGATCTACTTTTCTTTCAAAACTGCTTTAATTTCACTTTCCCCCTTATTTGACTTTACTACTGTGGCATAGTTTCCTCTGCAGTTTGGCAGTGCAGCAAAATTCTCATTTCATGAGTTGGATTTTAAGAGGAAATATTAGAATACCTTGAGGATCCTGAAAACACTTCTGAACGTGGAACAAGGGTTATTCTGATTATTAGTTTAATTCTCACCCATAAAGAGAGTCACAAGTCAACTCTGTGTGTTCTAGACCCCAGAGCAAGCTTCTGTTGAGAATAGGCCCCAGAGGTAATAGCCAGGCAACTTCCTCAAGAACTGCAAGACTGCTCCAAAGGGTCTAGTTCCTCTCACCTCAAGACGGGCACCCTGCAGACCTTGTTGCTATAGCAACCTTGTCTTGGAGGAAGAGATTGCCTGTGCTTCTTGGGCTTCCTGGTAGTCAGGACACCAGGGAGAGGGAAGAATTCTAGATGTAAGGACATTTTAGGGGGTCTCTTCCCCACCAGGAATCCTCAGGAGTGCCCCCTTCTGGGTTAAAACACAAACACTTTATACTTTGTCTTTCATCTGAAAACAAATATAGATTTGAAATATGGCAAAAACCAGAAAAGAGTATTTTATATACAATTAGAGATAATAGAGCCAAACAATGACCTTGTAGAGACTCGGCTAAGACAATGATGCTAATGAGAGGTAGGGTGCTGTCTATGGGCCAAAGGATGAGGACCTTGAATTATCAGAAATGATTTGAAGAACTACATTGTCATCAGGGTAACACACGTGAAATGACATATTATAAGCCATCACTAACCTAACATGGTTTTACTCAAGGATTAAATTGTGGTAGCAGCTTCATTTAAAAGGAGTGAGGCTTAATAAAATTAAGTTACTTATAATCTCTTTCTATATCCCTTTTTGACCTGAAACATGGCATATAATACACATTCACAAATTTCACTATGTGTTACTCTAGTCAGAGGCCTCTTTTGCTTGTGAGACAAGCCGTATTTTGTATTCCTAGGAAGTCTATAGACCTTGTTAACATGATAAATATCACTACACGTCATATGTAAGTTACATCTACCTCCTAACATTTAAAAAATAGAGAGTAACTTTCAAAGACTATTAACACAGGATTGCTGTTATTGAGAAGTGTAGGGAGGGGCTTAATGTAAAATATTTTCTTTAGGTAGATCCTTTCAAGGTGATTTAAAAAAACACAAAAATATTTACACCATACTGAACTTTCCTAAATTTCCTATGATACTTCTATTTCAAAACTGTCTTATTGTGAGAGTATGAGGAATATAGATGCAGCAGGTTTAATGTGTAAACCAGTACCCTTAGCTTGAGCAAAAGATGTCCCTCGGGTCTCCCAACACCAAGAAGATGGCAGAAGTTTAAATGCAGCTATTTTCTTTTTCCCAAGCAGTTCAAAATGCTTTAGCAAAGACTTTATGATTCTTACATCATTACTAATGATGTAAGCAAAGGTGAAAAATTCAAGAACTGGGGGTCTTGACTCCAAGTCCTTAATCCACTAAAACACACTGCATTTGAAGTTTAAAAATTATTAGGAAATTTTCCCACTGAATATGATCTTAAGATATTTCGGAAAACATTTAAGATCTACTAGGACTTGAATTTGAGAAGTAAGAGTGACCACACATCCAGTGTGGGGACATAAACTAGACAATTTAGACTGTAATCACGACCAGTTTATGAAAGAATAGCAAATAAGCGCCAAATCAGACCAATACGGTGAGATTTGCTGTGCTATTTTGAATAATTTGGTTCAAGTATCCGTATTTGGCCAGTATGTAATTCCAGTTCACTCTGCTTATATCAGGCGGGAACAAGGATCTTCTGTAAAGATCTTACTGCCTGATCCTCGTAGCTCTGTAGGACCATGTAGGTTGCCAGTAATACTAGGAATTGGACAAGTCACTCTTTCCGTCACTATCACATTTTGCGTGAGAAGTGGATCAAAAACAGCAGCGGGAGGTTGCACAAGGGAACCAGAAGAAGCTGAGTAAGTCTCTGTTACCAGATAGCTGCCATGCTGCAAAGGGTCAGCGATGGGAACGGCGGGCTGGAGGACAGAGCTGGAAGCAGACAGTGCAGATGCTCCCTGGCTGCCTGACAAAGTCTGGTACCTAACAGACTCTGACTGCTGGACTTGGTCGTGTTGGCCAGAGGCGTCAACCCTAGAACTGCTGTCTTTGGTATGCAGCTGAGAGCTTTTGGTTTCATCATCCATCCCGAGGCTTATCTCGGCCAGCTTTTTAAATTTGGGGCCAAGTGAGTCCAAGAAGCTCTCGTCAAAATCGTCAGCAATAAAACTGCAACAACCCAGGGAGCCGACGGGAGAACTGGGGGCGTCGATTCCTTCGTTATCATAGATCAGCAAGCAGTCATTTGCTTCCTGGCCATCGTCTTCGTCTGCACAGGCAAACGCTTTCTAAAGGTGGAGAGAAGAGGAGAAAATGAACTATAAGAGACACTCGGGGGAAGGATGTGATACCTTTCGTAGAACTCAACATTTGATCGTGACTATGTGATTGAGGTAATCCATCAAAGTCATGTACGGATGTGAGAGTTGGACTGTAAGGAAGGCTGAGCGCCAAAGAATTGATGCTTTTGAATTGCAGGGCTGGAGAAGACTCTTGAGAGTCCCTTGCACAGCAAGGAGATCAAACCAGTCAATCCTAAAGGAAATCAACCCTGGATATTCACTGGAAGGGCTGATGCTGTGCTCTTTGGCCACATGATGCAAAAACCAATTCACTGGAAAAAACTCTGATGCTGGGAAAGATTGAGGGCAGGAGAAGGGGGTGACAGAGGATGAGATGGTTGGATGGCATCACTGACTCAATGGACATGAGTTTGAGCAAAATCAGGGAGATAGTGATGGACAGGGAAGCCTGGCGTGCTGCAGTTCACGGGGTCCCAAAGAGTCAAATACGACTTATCGACTGAACAGCAACAACAACAATAGAAGTGAGGGCATACTCCATACCAGCAATCTTGTTACAGAAGTTATCTGTGTTTGGAGAATGATGCAATTGACATTCGTTCCAACTTGAGTCTGTTGTAGGCTCATATTTGAACTCTTGAGTTTTAAGACTTGCATTGACATGGACTTAGCCATACAGAGCAAATGTGTACGGAGCCTGGAGGTTATTTGCTGGGCCCTCTGTGAGGGTCCCTGTGTGTGTTTGGGTCATTGTGTGGGGCAGGGTGCAGGCATCCTCACCATCAGACACCGTAACCCTCGTGAGAGTCTGATCCCTACCTGGGAGTCCGATCCTTCCTGTCAGTCTGTCCTCAAACACTGTGTCAGCCTTCATCTGCGTGGCCACCAGGCCAAATGCCATCACTTACGGCTCTGATAGCGCAGCTGTAGGTGAGATCCGTTCTGGTGATGCACCAACCAGGAGGCAAGCTACCTGCCTCCCAATGTCCTCTCTGTCCTTGCATCCCTGTCCCTTTTTTTTTTTTAACTTTTATTTATTTTTTTTTCATTTATTTTTATTAGTTAGAGGCTAATTACTTTACAAGTCCCTTTGTAGATTCTCTGCTTCCTGACACTTCACCTCATCTTGGACCACATCCTTGTTTCCCCTTTTATGTTTGGGTCATTAATGTTTCTTCAACATTTTTGGACATGGATTCCTTGACAATGTGAAGAATACTATAACCCTCTCGGAAAAATGTATGCTGATGTATTCTGACATACTTCATGGTACAGGAAATGAGAAATAACTGCTTTGTATGTCTAAAGAGGATGCCGCTGATCGAAAAGCAAAGGGTTTTGCTTCCTCCCAGTGGGAGGAAGGAGGTGCCATATTCTCTCGTTTTGTGTCTACCCATCCCTTCTTTCTTTTGACTAGTAGCCGGATTTTGGCAGCCACCTTAGGTTATCCTTGTTATTTTAACAGGAGCCTTTACCTCTTTTTTCTTGTCTTAGCAAGCTGCAAAAGAACCAAACTGTGAAACTGAAGTACAGTCAGGTAGAAAGATCTCTAATGTAAACAAGTAACGAAGCCACAGCATTTCCCACCAGATTACCTGAGAAAAGTAGGAGTCCAGAAATTTCATGTTTACTGCCCCTTCCCCAAAGTCCTTGTTGGTTCCTCCCGTGGAGTGCCTTGTTCTCATCGTCCCGGACTGCCCCACGGAAAAGTTGCTCAGACCAGTGGTTGCTGCAAACCCCGCGGCTCCCCCAGATCCTGCAGCTGCTCCAAGCTTGGTGGTCAGTTCCATTCCCGACGCTCCTTCTACCACCGTCCCTCCAGCATATGTATTCGTACAGACTTCTAAAAACAGGGGAGAAAGTGCTGTGACATCTCATGCTGTGATTTGTTTTGTTTTGGTTTTTACTGATCTTTGATATCTGAGAGCACCTGCCAAGTAAAGCCAGCTTGTGGGAGAAAATATGGTTTTATGACTCAAGGTGAGAACACCCCACAGTCTGTAATGTGAGAGTAACAGAGGAGGTGAGGGGGTAACAGAGGGTATTAACAGATGAATAGCTCTGAAAACTTACCAATTAAAAAAATAAAATTTCCAGTGACAACAGCCAGAAATGGAAAAGTATGAATGAAATATTCAGTGCACAGCCATAGAAAGCTGCTAATGCGATGCTTGTTTTCAAGAAAAAAGAAGTTGTAATTTAGCTGTCATATTGGCTCAATATGGAAACCAAAGAGGAAACATACATAATGTAATCATGCAAATTAGCAAATGCTAATTAGGTGTCTTAGTGCCTAATGAAAATTTAATGAGCTGTGACTATTCTGCCAGTTACTTTTACAATGCATTTTCATGGAAAGCTATTTTTCCTAGAGAATTCAAAATATTGTTTTTGTGATGTAATTGTAATGGGAGAAGCAAATAAGGATTAAGGTAACTGATAAAGACAGATATATTTTGGGGGCGATATTACATAGATGTTTCAGGCTGGACATTTAAAAACAATTTATTGCTAAGCATGAAATTAAGAGCAGTTTGAATATTAGGCGTTAGATCTTATTGTTCTATAGGCTTCCCAGGTAGTGCTAGTGATAAGGAATCTGCCTGCCAATGCAGGAGACATGGGGGATTTGGGTTCGACTGAAGCAACTTAGCATGCTTGGTGTTCTAGTTTATACCTTAGTGTAGCACTGAGATAAGATGAATGAAATAGTCGTTTGGTAAACTACAGAAATAAAAAATTTCACCTATATGACAACACAAGCGATCCTTGTCCCATTATGATTAAATATATTGTTGTTTAGTTGCTCAGTTGTGTCCAATTCTTTTGCGATCCTGTGGACTGTAGCCCACCAGGCTCCTCTGTCCATAGGATTTTCCAGGCAAGAATACTGAGTGGGTTGTCATTTCCTTCTGTAGGGGATCTTCCTGACCCAGGGATCAAACCCTCAACTCCTGCATTGGCAAGCGGATTCTTTACCACTGAGCCACCAGGGAAGCCCATGATTAAATACAGGAATTGGTTATTTGAATTGAAATCAGGTTCCTGTTCTGGGGAAGAAAGAAGGGCAGCAAGATCTAGGATAGGCACACATGACACTTTAACTGCAAATATTACCAATGTTAACAGGCAGAGTTGGATGGTGGGTTCATAGTGTGTTTTATATTTTCCTTTACATTTTTCTATATATGTAAAATCCTTAACTTATTAAAAAATTAGTAATCAACTATCAGAGAGCTATGCTTCAGTTTACTGAAGTTTGGGGAAGTATAACAAATCTTCTGCCAGTAAAAATGGTGACATCAGTAGACAATGAACTTACTGAAGTCAGAACTAGGTCACAAAATTGACTGCTATACTAACAGTAAACCAATTCACTGAAACCCTGTTTCAGTGGTAACATCTCTCAGTATGTGCACAAATTATTAAGAAAAGAATTTAGAACATTTCTTAGTTTTTAATATTTCTTATTTAACCCATTGTTCCTTTCAAAAATAAATTTGATGTTCACTTACCAGAATTTTCCATGAAATCAACTCCATTGGCAGTTATAGGTGGCACACAGATATTTGTGATTTCCTACAAACAATATGCAAAAAATGTATTTAAAAATTAACCAGATTTCACCAATATACGTGAAATATGCTCCCTTTTAAATGGGGACATTACAAGAATTTCAAATTCTTGCAGGAGTAACCATTTTTATGATTTGACATCTGAAGAGCTAAGATCTTAAAAGGCTCCATTCACTTCAGCACTGACTCTCATAGGTCTTTGATGGTCAGGAGTCTTATTTTTTATACCCCATTACCCCCTTTTCTATCTAGTATGTAAATCGAATTTGCTCTGTATGAGTGAAGTAAATGTTTTACAAAGTGGATCATCACCTTGTCTTCAGGTTGGGCACCTTCAATTCCCCATGGGTGAATTGTTCCTTCTGAACCATCCGGCACTGGGGCAAATCCACCGGTCACTCCCCCAATAGGACCTGCCCCACAGTCACAGGTCAGAAGCAGGAGAAGGGCCACTAGAATGAAGGAAAATAAAATATCAGAACATTTGAATCACTTGGAAATGATTTGACAGGGCAATTGTTGGAAACATTACAAAGAAATACAGTAGCTTTAATGCTTATGGAAAATCTAATAGAAAGCAAAATTAATTTCTTCAAGGTAAAATTTGATTAAGTGTACTAAAATTTCACATAATTATGAAACTGAAGGAGACAGATCAGATTATTCTTGTGACCCATATATTTTCTTAAAAGAGGCACTGTTCGATGAATGATAAAAGTGGTCATTCATTTCCTCAATTATTTTCTATAATATGCTTTTATTATTATTGCTTTTATTTGTACATATTTCAGCTCAGTATATGATGTTGGGTGAATACACACCTGAATAGTCAAGATTTTAGGTGGGCATTATAATGATATGGTAATCTGGTAAACAGCTCTTTATAGAACAGCCATTAACCTGCAAACTCCCTCTGCAACTGGTGATCTAATATCATTACACTCTTAATGGTGACTTAGGAATCCTTAGCTTGGAGGGGCCTTCCTGCTTGGGTAATTATCATTCTTTCTGTGCAGATAGGTCACATCTTGGCAATAAAGATTAGCATCATTCTCAGGCTAATAGGCCAAGAGAGAAATGAAACACTTCCCAGGCTGGGTGGTCGATGACCGCACCTCCACCTCTGCCCTGCGTGCTGGATGTTCATGTCCGACTGAGTTCGTGTCTGATTCTTGTGATCCCATGGACTGTAGCCTGCTAGGCTTCTCTGTCCATGGGATTCTCCAGGAGAGTATACTGGAGTGGGTTGCCATTTCCTTCTCTAGAGAATCTTCCCATCCCAGGAATCTAACTTGGGTCTCCTGCATTGCAGGCAGATTCTTTACTGAGCTATGAGGGAAGTCCTGCCCTGAGGAAGGAAGGCACTAAATCCTAGTTTGAATTCTTTCACTTACTGGAAGCTTAGTGAGGGGTTTGAGTATATAGTCGCTGGAGTCAGTCTTCTAGGGTTTGAATTTTGGCTTCACCATTCACCAGCTGGACAAATTACATCATCTTTTCTTGCCTCCATTAACTATCCAAAGAATGGGAGAATATATAGTATCATAGATTATTGTGAGGATTATGAGTTAATGGAGATAAAGGATGGTACTGAGTGCTGTGAGGACTCCCCAGTATTGTTTGAATGAGCTACATCAGTTATACAAATTAGGCCAGTTACATATATATATATATATATATATGTATGTATGTATGTATGTAAATATTTGATGAAAAATTAGGCCAAGTATATAAAATAAAATAAGTTGGACAAAGCATACTTTCTCAGAATTTACCATAATGTTCATATAGTGATACTTCTAAAGGCTTTCTTTATTGCCATTCTCAATTCTATGACTTAAGTAAATGTATGGGAAGGGTTGAATATTTTAAGTGGGCAAATTAGTTTTGAAAACTGATGAATATATATATATATGTACGGTCAGTATTTTTAGATGAGTATAACAGTCTTTTAGAAATCTTGTTGATCATTGTATGTACAATATGTATTCGATTTTTATATACACATCCAGAGAAAGTTTTTCAAAGTGTTGATTGTGTTTCCACAGAAACATGTTTATGTTCTGTCCACCAAATTCAAGATATGACCTTTTGAAAATGGCAGGATCACATGAAGCAAATATGACTGTGGGAATAACACTATATATTTTCTCTGACTGCCATCCTGAGCCACAATCCCAAATGCACAGTAGTCTAGAGGATATATCTGTACCTCAAAATTCAACATTACAAAATCAGATTTATGATTGCTGTCCTACATGTCTGCACTTTCTCTGATATTGTCAATTTCATTTAATGGTTTCAGTAGCAACTGAATTTAGTGGTTCATCTGGACTTTTCATCCATCCATTCTATCCATTAGTCTCCAGATCTTCTCCATTTACTCCAACTGTGCCTCCCATACCTATTCGTTCCTTTCCAGTCTTATGTTGTGACTTGAAACCTGGCCTCCATCATCCCATGGGAGCTATAATATTACAATAACCTCCTAACTGTTCTTCCCTTTTTAATTTGCAGTACACACTGCTGTCAGTGTTATCTTTCTAAAATACAAATAAGATCATGTTGGTCCTTTATTCAGATATTCTCAGCAACTTTACCTCTTGGAATGGAACTTATGTCCCTGGGTATGGTCCAGTGTCTCCTAGTTTATAGTCTATGGGAACTTGAATAGAATTTGTATCTTACTATTGTGTGAAAACTGTATAAATCTTAATTATGTTGAATTGGTTCATAGTGCTTTTCAGGTCTACTCTATCCTTCTACATTTCTGTACATTCTGTTAGGTTTTGAGAGTTTGATATTGCAACTCTAAAAATCTTCATTTACCTACTTAAAAAATAATTGTCATATGTAATGGAACTGTAAATAACTTTGCATTTTCCAACTCTCTCCTGTATCATACTTTCATAATTTAAAAATATCAAAAAGAAAGAGAAAAAAAACACATGTATGTAAATTCCCTAAATGTGTTCAGTAAACTTCATCATATTAAGTTTGAGCCTTAAAGGAGTGTATTTTCAGATGAAAAGCTGTTTTGAGGAAATTCTGGATTAAGCAACAACTTCTCAGAGTGTGATACATTTATCTGCATTGTAAAGCTCAAAGCTTATACTATCTTAGAATTTTTCCTAAATTTTTTCGGTCAGGACTCTTAGAATTTCATGAGACTTGTAGAGGGAAAAGACATTTTAGAAAGTGCTGCGATCCTGGGTAAAGTCATTATTTTGACCGTGAACATCACAGGCAGTGTGTAGACTATCCATGCTTTTTCGCCTTTCTTTGGTTCTCTGGTGATGGTTTTTGTATGTCTGACATACACGACTTGCTCTGCTGTGTTATAAATATAGATTGTTGGCAAGTCACGTGTTAACTTGAAACATTTCCGGTTCTTCCTGAGAATGTCAGCGCGCCCCCTGCCCCCACGTCACCCCGTGAGCTCTGCCTCTAAAACAACTGCAGAGATGCTTTGTCCACCCACATGCTACCATCCCGGTGGCGCCCGGAGCGTGCCCTGGGATACTCACACAGAAGCAGCAGAAGCCCGAGGAACAGCAGGCCGATGGCGGCAGCCCCCATCCTCCCAGACTCCTTTCCAGTTCTGCTGCCAGGGACGTTGGTCATATACACACGTTGGCAGACGTCCCTGTAGTCACACTGACAGACTTCCAGGGTCAAGCTCTCTGGTGCCTCGCACCGCCGGCCCTCACTGTCGGTGACCATGACAGAGATTCTGTACACTCCGGGAGAGACTGGCTGCGGGGCTCTGAGGTGTGCGGACGTAGCTGTAGGGGAACCGGCGAACACATCAGCAGTAGGACAAGGTGTCTCTGGCTCTTAAAACTACCTGTTGTTTTGGGTGAACAGGGCCACAGTTGACACATCACTGTCACAAATAGTAGGGGGAAACTGGAGAAGTTATGAGGGCTGTTGGGGTTCAGTTGGGTATACATTATTTCAGAAAAGAGCAAGAGATAGATGGGGTCATTTACAAAGGACTTGAAGCGGCCTGATGGTCACTTTTGTGTGACCAAAGTCATGTCAACTCTTTTGCAACAGAGGAGCCTGGACAGAGGAGCCTGGCAGCCTCCAGTTCATGGGATTTCCCAAGCAAGAATACTGGCGTAGGTTACTATTTACTTCTCCAGGGGATCTTCCCGACCCAGGGATTGAACCTGTGTCTCCTGCTTGGCAGGCAGGCTCTTCACCACTGAGCCACCTGGGAAGCCCAGCTGGTCACTATGCAATCCAAAAAGAGAGAAGATTCTTATTATGTCTAATGGCTTTTTCTATGAGACTCCTGGAAAACATAGGAAATGTGAAATTAGCATGATAAAAGTTAGGAGAAAAGTAAGGATGGATTAACTCTTGCCCATTGGCTAATGACTTTGAGAACTTCAGCCTACCATGCTTTCAAGATTCCTGACTAGTGACAGACTAGGGGCAGCCTTGAGCAGGCTGACCCCTCCAGTACTTCATGTCTGCTGACAGCCTGGCTAGTTAGGAAAAGTTTATGTATTTAGAAATCTAAACAGCTCAGCAGTAAAATAGGTGCCTGACTGTAATCTTTTCATGATTTATTTATTTTTGGTATACTGAGGAGATACAGATAAAAAATTGAAAATATAAACATATCCAATTAGAGTCCACATGAGAAAAACAGAAAATTTTAAATAGTGCTAATATCTTATATTGTTCCTTTTCTGAAGACAGAGGAAATTCATGAGGATAGGAAATCATCTTCATTGCAAAGAATTTTTAAAATTACTCTTGGAAAGGACCTGCTCCCAAATGGACTCTCTCTTAACTTTCTAGAAACATAAAGAAGCAGCAGTTGTCATTTGCAGAAGCAGCTTTACAATTACTCACCATCTCTTTCTGCGATACTCCACGCAACTGGAAGTTTTACGCTTTGCTCTTCCACCGAAAATTGGTAGGGGCCAGCATATTTATCCTTTTCCAGTAAAGCTCTGACGACCACGGAAGGTGACGAAATACAGACTTCTTCCTTGTCCAGGGCAATTGTTGGACAATTTTCATTAAAATCATGTATGTGGACATATATGGTGCCTGTAGAAGTTTTACCGGTTTTTTCTATAAGAATAACATTTTAGAGTTAGAGAACTATACAGAGCAAGTTGTGCAAAATAAAGAAACAATAAATAAGCCCTTAAAATTTCTCTCACATGCATGGACTTCTCTGGTGGCACAGTGGATAAAAATCCACCCGCCGGCACAGGGGACATGGGTTTGATCCCTGGTCCGGGAAGACGCCACATGCTGTGGAGTAACTAAGCCCGTGCACCTCAACTACTAAGCCTGTGCTTTAGTGTCTGTGAGTTGCAACTACCGAACCCACATGCTACAACTACTGACGCTGAGAGCCTGTGCTCCACAACAAGGGAAGCCACCACAATGAAAGTCCTGTGCACCACAACTGGAGAGTAGCCCCCACTTGCTGCAACTAGAGAAGGCCTGAATACAGCAAAGAAGACCCAGTGCGACAAGAAACAAAGAAGTATTAGAGAAAAATTATCTCACATGCACCAGATTAGAGTATGTGCTCATGAAATTGTGCCTGTTATTCCTACAAATAAAAAGATGTCACCCAATTTCTGTACCTTGTTAAAAGGAAATCTGATTATCAGTGTGGCTGCTGTCTTTAATTAGTAGCTTCTTGTTGTTCGGTCACTGAGTCATGTCTGACTCTTTGTGACCCCATGGACTGTAGCCCTCCAGTATCCTCCATCCATGGCATTCTCTGGGCAAGAATACTGGAGTGGGTTACCATTTCCTTCTCCAGGGGATCTTCCCAACCCACAGATGGAATCCATTAGCAGATGGATTCTTTACCTCTGAGCCACCTTAATTAGTAGCATCAGCTATTAATTCAGTGTGATTGGAACCAAGACCTTTAAGGTGATAAATTCGCTGATTATGAATGAAATCAACATAAAAATAATAGTTTTCTTAAATATATTCTACTGCACGAGCCCAGACTATGTGGAAGATTTCTGCTTTTAAAGCTTGAGCCAAAGTATTTGGAATAAACTATGATTTATTTTTATTACCCAAGATATAAGATCTCTCAGTGGTGAGATTAAGAATTATTTCTGTTGTTTCCCTTAGTGCTTTTTTCTGTTTTTCCAGATAATATGATTTTTTATTTTATTTTTATGTTTGCTGAAATTGCCTTGCGTATAAATTAATTTTACACTTAGAGAAGCACATAGTCAATGTGCTTTGACCAGGTGCTTCATTTAAAAGATTTTTCAGAAGATTTTTATTGTTCCATGATATAAGCATATAGGTCTCTATAAGTAACTCACTTTGTGTGTAAGTAACTCACAAAGGCACCTCACATTTGAGCTGAGCTTCCCTGATAGGCTTCCTGTATCAATCTTTGTCCACTTTCTCAAATCAAGAAATTCTTTCTCCAACCACAGCAAACAATAGGACTAAACCCAGAATTCACTGGTGCAACGAACTCCAGTGAGAAGCTAGGATGCCTAGATTTAGCCACCTCAGACTTAACACCCAAGGCCCCTAAGGTAACTAACTTTATCTAGTTAATTCTTTATCTAGTTAATATCTAGTTAAAGGTTCTTCCCTAGTGTCTCAGTGGTAAAGAATCTGCCTGCAATGCAGGAGATGTGGGTTCAGTCCCTGGGTCAGGAAGATCCCTTGGAGAAGGCAATGGCAACTCACTCTAGGATTCTTGCCTGGGAAATCTCATGGACAGAGGAACCTGGTGGGCTACAGTTCATGGGGTTGCAAAGAGTTGGACACAACTGAAGTGACTTAGCACATATACATGCAGTGATAAAGGTAATATGTTAGTAATCAAAAGCATCTATTCATAAAGAAATGCCAATTTGAATAATATTTTTTCTTACCATCTATGGCCAGAACCTCAGCTGTGATTGTCTTGTTAATTATGAAAGTAACATCTCGTTCAATGTTTTTGACAAATTTGATTTCAGCAGTTTTTGAATCAATCATTAGCAAACCACCATCATTACGTCCCAAGACATATCTGTTTTGTAACAGAAAACAGTAAGTTTTTTTCCAAACATGGGATGATACCTATTTAATGAAAATGACTTATATTTAATGTATTTTCATAAGACTCTGAAACATGCTTTTTAAAAAGCAGCAGAAAATTAGCATATTAGCCTAGACAAGGAGTATTTCATAAGCCTTGAGAATATGTTAGCCTGGTTTTTAAATTTTCTGCTCTGCTCAGTAAAATAACTGTGTCCTTGTTCTTTATACTATAGCGGCAACTTTTTATGGTGCTTTACTATTTTAGGCACCATTCTTTGTATGTACTGTTCTATGTCTGACTACACCACGATCTTCTGGTGAAATTCTACTCTTTTAAGGCTCAACTGAAAGTTTCCATGAAACTTTTTCTTGATCTCACTAGACAGGCTGTCATTCTTCATTTCCACTTCCACTTATGTTTATGCTACCTTAGCTCATAGCACATCTCTTCTTGAGTTATATAGGTCCTTGAGTTGGTTACCACTGTATCTCTTTATATTATTGAAATGGAGTAGTTTAGATATTATTTTGCAATAGTTTATAAATTAAAACTAGTCAAGGTAAACAGCAAGGTCCTACTGTCCAGCCCTGGGAATTATATTCAATATGCTGTGATAAACCGAAATGGAGAAGAATATGAAAAAGATTATATCTGTATAACTTAGTCACTTTACTATACATCATAAATGAACACAACATTGTAAACCAATACACTTCAATAAAATTAAAAGAAATTTCATCAAGGAATAAAGAGATATTAAAAAAATTATTCTTACCTGACAAATAAAGCAGCTTCGCCAGTGTCTTCATCAATGGCTTGATAGGTTCCCAGGATGTAATTGATCAACTGGCTGCTTCTTATGCCTTTTTGGACAGTAAATGTCTTGGAAGAAGGATGGAATGTAATTCCTTCCCTCACATTTATTACTTGAACTATGAGTGGGGTTGACTGGACTCGATATTGAGAGATTACGGATTGGTGAAATTCAGCTTTATTTTTGACGGCAATACCAAGTTGCATGCTTTGTACTTGTTCATAATCTAGAGACTAGAGTAAAAATAAAAATAGAAAGAAAGAGGTGTCACAAAAATACGATCAGGTAAGAGGACCAGAGAACTCTATGTTATGTGCTATGAACGACTCCTTTATTTCTATGAATGAATCCTTTATTTCTATACAGCAAAACGGTTTCACAGATGAATGTAATGCTCTGATGAGGGTCCTTCAGAATTCTTCGTTTATGAAACCTCAGTTTGGTGACTGATACTTAAGAAACACAGTTATCTCTTTTAAGACTAACAAAACACCTTTACAATTTCTTTAGGCTGTGTGATGCAGTGGAAAGAATTCCAAATTTGTTGTTGTTGCTTGGTTTGAATCCTGGTTCTGCTACTTAATAGCTGTGTGACTCAGGGCACAATATTTAATATCTCTGATCCTCAACTATTTACTTCTGAAAAAGAAAAAAAACCTCTTATCAGATTGTTGTAAGGACTGAACAAATTACAACCCACAATACATTCCTGTAAAGGGTAGCTACATCCACTGCACAGAATAGTGAATGTATTCACTATATTCACTATATAGTGAATTCTGTGCAGTGGATATAGTGGATTCATGTGCAGTAATATCTTTCCTGACTTAAAAAAATTCAGAAATGGCAAATTATCTTACTAAAGTTGGTTGGCACACAGGCTTCTGTAAAGCCGTGAGAGGGTGGCCCACTAGCTCTTCATAGAACCGTTTTCACCTGGTCTTATGTGTTCACTATTTGTTTGACTCTTATATTGAAGTGGCAAAAGTCAAGGCCAGGGATATCCCAGGATAGCTCGTTTCATTCACTAGTAAATTTTCTAAGGGTGATGGGATAAGGAAATGTTCATTTTGGTTACATTGGAGTATAACTGAAAATAATATATGAGATCTAGATTTGAGTTTTAATTTGGCAGTGACTGGTTTTGTGGGACTCAAGTGTTTCCTAGTGGAGAGGAAGAGAAAGCTGCTCAAACTGGTCATTATAATGTAAGGGCTAAGTGACGAAAGAGATGGTAGAGTCTCTGTGAAGGCGAGTGAAGACTTGTACTTGAGAAAAATCAGGAACGGCTTCCTAGAGGTTTTCGTGTGAGCGTTTCAGGGTGAGGAGGAGTCATTCAGGCAAAGTAAATGCCAGGTCTAGCAGAAGGTGACAGAGAGCTGGTGATCGTGAGAGGCCTGGGGTGCAGCTCTGGGGGGGCTGAAGGTCATCCCCAAGGCCAGCAGGTGGTCACCAACCCTGGCTGCACGTCAGAGCCCCCTGGGGAGCCGCTCGGCCTTCCCTGAAGACAGACTGGACCAAGCGCTCCGGTGTTCCCACGGGCTAGGAGGAGCTGCAGGGGACTCAAAGGGACAGTCCTAACCGAGGGCCGTTTTCACAGCCAGTGAGAGCAAGGAAAGGTTTTAAGGGGGAGTAATTGGTCCAAACTGCTTTTCAGAGACATGTGGTAGGAGAGAGTGAAGGCGGGCAGGCTCGGGAGGTGGGGTGGGGAAGTCTACCAGAAGCAATTGCCGGGCAGCACCGGCCATAGGAAGGAAGGCCAGGGCAGACGATCAACATGAGGTGGGGTGGGGAAGTTTACCAGAGCAATTGCCGGGCAGCACCGGCCATAGGAAGGAAGGCCAGGGCAGACGATCAACATGAGGTGGGGGTGGGGAAGTCTACCAGAGCAATTGCCGGGCAGCACCGGCCATAGGAAGGCAGGCCAGGGCAGACGATCAACATGAGGTGGGGTGGGGAAGTCTACCAGAAGGAATTGCCGGGCAGCACCGGCCATAGGAAGGAAGGCCAGGGCAGACGATCAACATGGTTTCTAGGGCAGAGTTTGACGTCTGGCTCTAGGTGGTGAGAAGGTGCCACAATTGAAAGATAAGGCCCAGGTTTCTAGTTTGGGAGACTGGGAGATACCAATACAGAAGACTGGGAACATCTGGTCCCAGGTATTCTTGGGAGTTTATAATAAAACCTTGCAACTGAGGAGGGCTGTAGCTCACTCTCTGAAAAGCAGAGTAATAGGAACTCTTATGGGGCTTCCAGCAATCCGGAATTGCAGCAGTCGCCCTGTTAAGGGAATATTATAGGTCTGTCATTCTGCTGGACTCACGGAATTAAAGAGAGAAGCTCATATAGTCCAATGTCCTATGCCAAGGCATGTCCTAAAACAGTGGTAATATTTTTCTAGTCTATACAATAGCCAAACATAAATAGGTTTATGTTATTTCAGATGAAGAGTCTGTTGTAACCAAGCCTGTTAAATGGAAGTTTTACTCAATTGTTTATTTTGCAAACTTAGTTTATATATTCCCATTTTCTAGAAAAAGTTGCAGCCCTTCTGAGGGCTGTAGCTAATCCATTTAAAGGAAGTTGACAAATTCACAAGCCACTATTCCATATATTCTTGTCTGTTCCTGAGTTTAAGTCAGGAAATGTTTTACTTTCTTGTGCTTAAAACAGACACACTGATAAATAAATGTCTATTAGTGTGTTTGTGTTTCTGTAGAAAGGATGATAGTTTGGAAGGATTTATTAATTGATTTATTAATCAACATGTTAAGAAAAGTCTCCTTAGGAAATGGGGCTGTGTTTTCAAAATTCTCTCTACTTTTGTGTGTTTTTTATATTTTCTGTAGAGAAGTGGTATTATTATTTGTAAGTGAATAAAGTTTATTTATGACAGTTTCGGCTAACATAAAGTAATGGTTTTGGTTAATACAGAATGTTTTTCCCACTGAAAGGAAATTAGACCTTACCTGAACTACTTTCAGGATACCTTCGTTAGTTCTGGGATCAGTTTGTATTTCAAACCAATTCCCTTCATTTCCAAAGGTAAAGAAGAACTCTGCAAGCCAATTATCAGTGAACTCTTCATCCAAATCTATTACTTGAAATCGAAGCAACTCAGAACTTAAAGTGTTTTCTTCAATGCGTGCAAAATACTAAAAAAAAAAAGGCAGAATTTAAGTTTCAATGTCAGGTTTTATCTAAAAGAATTATAGTCATTCTGAATGGCATTAATCATTAATTCTCAAATTATGGATTGCCTTTTTGCTGGTTCCTGAATTCTTATTTTTATAATAGCTTATTTTAAAAGAAAAGTGCAGAGAATGTAACTAAAAGCCTGCAAGCCAGCAAATCCTGAATTATGGTGGTAAGGTATAACATAATATATATATATATAATTATGTTTTAAATAATTATTTTTCAAGGAATAAAAGGCACACCTGTGATTCTCTGAATGTTGGGAAATTATCATTGACATCTTTCACTTTAATGCTACATTCACACTGAGCTGATAGTCCTTCTCCATCTTTGTCTGCACCACTCACAACCAGGCGATAGCTGCTAACTTGCTAAATTTGGAGAAAAAAATAAAGAAAAATGATTAATCTCTAGTGTCAGGGATACAAATGACAACTACTTGCTTCCTATGGGAAGGAAGTGAAAATATTTAAATTCATGGCTCATTCTCTAGAAGGACTGCATGCACTTTCATTGTCCACCATAGAAGAGGCATGAGGAACACAGGCCCCACATTGGGGAAAGTCTCTACAGGGCTGACACAAGTTTTCTCTTTTGTGAGCTTCTTAGGGCAGGAAGGTGCGCTAACAGCAAAAATGGACAATGAGGATGGTACTCTGTTTATCTGAGGGAAGCTCATTTATAGAGCTTCCTTGCTGGTCTGTTCAGAAAATCATTTGTGTAAAAGTAATACAGAGTCTGATGGGGTCTTGTGTGTTGTTGGAGATGTGTTGGTAGGACAATGGAGAAGAGAAGGTAAGGGGATTCTTTTTTCTTTTTCCCTTGTGGCTGCTCCATGTAATTTATGGGACCTTAGTTTCCTAACCAAGGATTGAATCCGGGTTGCTCAGAAGAGAGAGCATGAAGCCCTACCACTGGACCATCAGGTAATTCCTGGGGATTCTCTAGTGTTCTAGAAACAGGAGTAACATGGAAAGAAGTCAGGAGAAAAAGCACGGCATCAGAGATGGCTTTATTCCAGATACAAATTTCTCCCTAGGAAATTTCCTTTTCCTCCATCACATGAGGGATTAGCCCCAGTTCAGTCTCTGCCTGTGGATACAATGCCTTCTCTTATTCCCTCAGTTTAACTTCCATGGATATGGGATACTCATTTGTTGAGGTACAATCAACTGTGCAGGTCTCAGACACACAGCCCACCCCAGCAAAATCACAGTAGAATGCAAGGAGCTTCCCTTGATTGGGTCAGTTGAATCCAGGGAACCCTTCTTCCTTCCCTCTTTCATTCTTAGGTAGAAGGGAGTCACCTCTTTTGGGTTTCTTACAACTAAATCCTGAGTTATTGAATGCTCCCAAGTGCCTTGCTTTACCTCTCGATCAAGTGAATTGGTCAAAGTGCGGACTTCCCCTGTGTGTCTGCTTAGGAGGAACATGGGTGTGCCTGCAGGTTCCTGATGGATGATTTTGAAGGCAATTTTAGAGTTCAAGTGGTTCGGTTCATCTGCGTCTGTGGCATTTAGGATCATCACCAGTGAGTCTAGGAGTACAGAAGTTCATTAAAGACAATGTAAAGATTGACATTATATTCACATTAAATATTCAACACAATTTCAAATTGATCTTTGTGGTTTAAGATCTTAAAACTATCTGTATGCTAAAAAACTACATGTCACGTGCAATATCTCTTACCCAGTCAGGTGACTGAATCAGGTGACCCTTGCTGCCTCCCATAAAAATCCTCCACTTCTCACTAAGCCTTGGTTGGTTGTGGAGAGCTTGAGAATGTTTTCTCTTCATTTTTTTGCCCTTGCTGAATGGCTTCCCTTCTCGCTTTCCCCCCAATTATACATGTAAGGAGTGTGTCTCTGTCTCTTATAATCTAAGAAAGCCCAGCTGATGCATCTGGGTTGTCTAAAGCTACCTCTTCACCTTTGTGACTAGAATAAGCTTTGACTTGATAACACAACCACAACCTAGATCTACAATGGCAGTGGATGAGTAGCTCAATCACAAATATTAGCAAGGGAGACCCAGACTGTCTTCATGAATTTTTCTACAAAACTACTGATGAAACTAAGAGAATAAATTAGCTTGTAAAAATGATGTACTATAAATGATGCTTGTATCTGAAAGTTAAACAAAAAAAATTAAAAGTGGTATTTACTGCAGAAGACTTACTTGAAGCACTATTTTCTTCAATTTCACCCTGGAATATGCTTTGTGAAAATACTGGAGCATTGTCATTTATATCTAAAATTTTGACCGTTAGTATAAGTGGTTTTTCTACCTCTTGTCCTAGGGCATTGAAAGCACGACATGTAATCTAGAAAAGGAGAGGACATGTTAATGAATGTTCTACAACATCAGTTTGCTTATTATTAAAACTTGTTGAGATAAGGCCTCTCCTAGCATATATAGTACTTTTGTGCAAAGAGGAAAAATATTTTTCCCAAAGAGGAGACAAAGTAGGAAAGTGTCTACTCTGGGTAGACTAGTTGGCCAAGTTTCCCCTTCTTGGGGGCTGGTACTTTGTCTCCTGGTACCCAGAAGGTCTTGGCCAGAAGCCTGCTGGAGTTCAGTGTTTATACACCCTCCTGGGTTGTTCCTTCAGAGGCACAACCTTCAGAGGCTATTTGTTTTATTTTTTACTTTTACGCTGCACATTGCAGCCTGTGGGATTTTAGTTTCCCAACCCGGAGTTGAACCTGTGGCCCCTGCAGTGGAAGCCCAGAGTCCTGACCACTGGATCATTAGGGAAGTCCAAGGAAGGCTCTTTGTTATTTGATGGTGAATGGATTCGTGCACTGATATCCTTCTCGATTAACCTTCTAAAGTCACTGCCACAAGGGAAAGGGTGGCTAATATCAAGGACACACTTACCTGGAAGCTTGGGGTTACTTCTCGATCAACTATGGCCGTTATGTTAATTTCTCCAGTGTTTTTGTCAATGACAAAGATTCCAAAGGGGGGCTGATCAATTCCTATTCCAGAGATGCGGTAGGTAATTTTCTGGGTTGCTTCGCAGTCTGAAGTAATCTGCAGCCCAAAATACCCAAAATGTTAAGGTGATCATCACTCAGGCCTCTTCCTTCCCCCCTGTCCTCCACACTTTCAAGTCATCTGTTCATTTTATTCATGCTTTCTGACACTGTGTTGTTTATTTTTTGCCTTGATAGCCTGGAAAATCCCATGGACGGAGGAGCCTGGTGGGCTGCAGTCCATGGGGTCGCTGAGAGTCGGACACAACTGAGCGACTTCTCTTTCACTTTTCACTTTCATGCGTTGGAGAAGGAAACGGCAACCCCACTCCAGTGTTCTTGCCTGGGAAAACCCCAGGGACTGGGGAGCCTGGTGGGCTGCCGTCGATGGGGTCGCATAGAGTCAGACACGACTGAAGTGACTTAGCAGCAGCAGCAGCAGCAGCAGCTACTAGGAATATGAAATAAATTCAAATTGTTTCCTCTGTTGGCCAGTATGGACCAATGTGCATTAACCTTTCCAGCTTTAGAATATTTGCCCAGATCATGGTCACCATAGTGATGTTAAAAGGTTGAGAGAAAGTCAAGGACACCTAATGTTGACAAGGCTATTACTGAATGCCTCGTTGCTTAGCAGATAACACACACACAAAAAATGACATTTAGTTTTAAATAGGAGGAGCTGGAGAAAAAATGGAAGGGAATAATATACTAAGTATTAAAAATATTAGAATGAATTGCTTTTATTATTATTAATCTTTAAATTTTTAATAGGGAAAATTTCAAATATATTATAAAGTTAGAAGGTATAATGAACCTGATATATCTCATCACCCAACTTCAACAGTTCTGAATACATGGCCAATCCAATGTTGACTCTCAACCATCTTTAATTGTCTTATTGCTGTATATTGGTTTGCTATGATTTCAAATCTACTTTTAAATTTTTATCTAGGAATAGAGTTGCTTTGTTTTAAGAGTGTGGTTGTTTGCATGGAGGAAGCTGTCAGAATGTTGTGGACATCTGTGGCTGTCAATATCCACTCAGCTCAGCTGTCGCGGAGCAACATTGGGGGCTTATTGATATAAGCATGTGGAGAAGTCACTATGGCTGGGAGATATTTAAGCTTTAAATAGGAAGAGTTTGTGAGGACTTCTTGGAGTGTTCAGTCTGGGCAAGGCAACCCTTAGCTGATCTAAATGCCTCTCTGAAGACCTTGGGGCATTCGCTCCTGCCTGGGCAAGGCATCTTTTGCCTGGCAGTGGTGAAAACTGTAATCTTGCCTGCCACTACCTCTGTTCCCTAGCAACGTGCTCTAGTGATAAGGGACTTTTGCTTTTGCACTGGTAGCCAGACATCAGCTTGTGATTGACTAAACTGACTGAGAACCAACTGGTAGAAAGGTCCACCTTAACTTAATCTGGACTCTCTTCCTTTAACCTCTCTTGCCTGGAACAATACTGTGATTAATCTACACTTGATTAGGAGTATGGTATTTTGTGGTTTATTGAGAGACATTATCCTATATGGTTTTGGCTTGTGAAATTTTTATAACTCCTGCAGTGAACCCATGTTAAATAAATTATTGGTAAAGACAGTCACATTCTCTGAGGATAATTTGCTGCCCCAAACAAAGAACTTATCCATATACATTTTTCTATTCGTTTGCTAGAATCTGAATCCCAAAAGGCATATCCATTGAATATATTGAAATGGCTCTTAATTATTTTTAATTACTCTGGAAGCTGTAACTCCTTCATCTTTCTCTTTTATATTGATATTATTAATACTATTATTGTTGTATTTTTTGTGTTGTTGAAAATACCAGGTTATTTGTTGTATGGACTCCTCAATTTGTATTTGCTAATTGGAATTTCTGCATTATTCTAATTTACACCTAGTGCATTTTTTCTCAAAACTCACATTGCTTCTGCTTATAAGACTTACTTTGGCGATTGGATTTCTGTACGAGTTGTCTTCTCCTTCTCTGCAGGGTCTTGCGAATTTCACCCACTCACGTTTGTATCTCTTTTTGCCTTGTTGTATTGCTGTCTCATATTCTTCGTATTGTCCTTTTGTCTTATTCAAAAAGGGGTTACATTTTATTATGCACATTGTTGGAAATATTTGCTTTAAATTTTGCTTTTTTGAGTATTAATTACAGACACCTAGGTTGAGGAGTCTCCTATGTTTCAAGATATTTAAGATGGTTAAATACCCAATTTTCTCTCCCTTACACTATCATGCAAAGAAGAAACAGTAAATAACTAAAACAGCTACAGAGCTATATGATTTTTTAATATCAGCATTTAATCATATTTTATATTTCCTATATATATTACACAACATCTGACTGTTCTGGGCACATAATACTGGTTTAATGAAATCCTGTTGATATTTTAAGATAAGATGAAAGAATGCATGAGGTAAATTACAAAAATGACATCGATTCATGCTTGTATTTAAGTATTACTAGGTTAGTTGTTAGAATTGTATTTTCACAATTAAATTATTTAGTAACTTAAAATATTAAATAAATATTTATTTTTCCTGAGTACAATTTTTTAACTATACTATTTTAATTGCAAAAACCTTTTTCATACTTTACCTGTATTCTCAATTCTCCATGAACCAACAGAACCACCTGTAGACATTTAAATAAAGTCAAATTAAACATGAATTCCTCAAATAAGTAATTACATAAGATAATAATTCTGATTTTTACATTCTGCTGTTCATATTGTAGGTGTTTCTGTTTCAAGAGGGAAGGAACACAAGTATACCTATGGCTGACTCATGTTGATGTGTGGCAGAAACCAGCACAGCATTGTAAAACAATTATCCTCCGATTAAAAATAATAAAAAGAGCAAAGAAGTAGATTTGAACAAGCAGTATTCAAAGAGCAAAAAAAATAGTCTTCATGTAAGCAGTTCCTTCAGTTGTGTAATCTGATTATAGAATTTTAATGATGTTCAGGAGAATCTATTGGACTTTTCAAAATTCTAACAATTGTTGCAACAACCAGACATTTCTTACCTGTCTGCTCTATAAGCACTTACCAGGAACTGTGGAAGCTATTGCTTTGGGAAACAATGATGAGCATTATTATAATAAGCTTCAGAAAGTACCACAGGAGGTTATTAAAAGCCATGACCTACTCTACTGACTTGGCAATGCCGTTTTCGTTAGTTGCAATTCCAGGGTAAGGCATTTTCTTAGTCATATAAGAGTTGAGAGAATGGAAAGGACCTAGTCTAATTTAGAGAATGAAATGTAAAAGATGGGGATGTGCTATTCCAATCACAAGAACTTTTTGCTATGGAATGTGGATTTGTGTATCTCTGCTCTACTAGTTCAATTTAAATTTGAGCTTAATTTTCCTACAGATCTGAAAGAAATAAAGATAAGATGAAGCCAGGCCAGGCTAGGTCTTCACCTTCTCAAGAGTATATAGGACCTTCATCTGTGTGATTTTCAGTGTTGTTTTCTACCTGGAATGCATTCTTCTTACCTTCACACACTTGAATACTGTATTACTCATCCCTGAAGATCATGAAGTCTCCATGAAACTGTCCTTACTGATGTCTCCTTTTATAAGTTTGCAAAACACATATTCTGTACTGTGCAATTTAGCCCATAATGGTTTACCGTGATTTATTATTTCTTATGATTTTATGTACATTATATGGTGTTCAGCCAAGAGAATTGCAAACTTTCCAAATCGGTGCTTCTATATTATTATTATTGTTTTTGCAATCCTTACAATACTGATCCCTTAGCAGATGTTTAAAAACTGTTTTCTGACTCACTGACTCACTGATTTGAAGACAATCTGGAAGGGAAAAGATTATGAAAAATAAATCAGGACGAAGGAAATTGTTTTATGTGTCAGATGCTGTTCATAGAGCTTTATGTTTAATATCTCACTTAACACAGCAGCCATCTGAAGGATGCTGTAATCCCTCTTTCAGGGATGAAGAAAAGGAGAATACTCATGAGAAAATGAGTACTTTGCCCCAACTAACAGGCCTCGGATTTGAATCTCTGCAGCCTGACTCTAAAGTGTGCACATCACCACTACACTAGATTCTTAAGTCAGTGTAGGTAAATAGAAAATAAAAACGAGTCATAGAAAAAAAGTTATGTGGTAGTCAATTTAGATTTCTTCCTGGCAAAGGCTGCAGTTAATCCTGAAACAATGTAGATTTATTACATCGCTTATTTTGGAAGGCTATAATAAAGAGGCAAGTCCCAGTCTGAATCAAAGGAAAAATGATATCAGACGTAGGATGCGAGGACCCTTCCATTCTAAAAATTTCAATAAAATCTTTATTTCAAAGGATGTTTGTTAAAATTGTCATGGAAAAGAACCATGACTTGTTGTTATAACAAGTCTGAAAATGATTTAACAGCATTGCTGCTCTTTTTAAAACAGTATCATGAGTTACTTGGGGGCTTCCCAGGTGGCGCTAGTGGTAAAGAATCCGCTTGCCAATGCAGGAGACGAGATGTAGGTTCGAACCCTGGGTTGGGAAGATCCCCTGAGGAAGGAAATGGCAACCCACTTCAGTAGCCTTGCCTGGAAAGTTCCATGGACAGAGGAGCCCAGTGGGCTGCTCTGCAGTCCATGGAGTCACAGAGAGGCAGACACGACTGAGTACATATGCACACATGCATTACGTGGGAGAAAAGGCCAGGGCAATGTAGTCATTATACACCTTTCCAGTTCCTAAGAACAACTCAGCCACACGTGAGGGGAGGGGTGGACCAGATATGATCCCTTTTACAGGAAAACTGGAGTCATCCTGAAAATATGAATCACGTTTGTACTAGCCCTGTGGAGAATGATTCTTCTAATAGACATTAAGATTTCTCTTTTTCTGGGAAGTGAAGGAAGGGCAAACCCTAAACTGTGGAAAACGAGCATTGCAGACAGGTGTTTCTTTCTTGTTAAGTCATTTCTTTGACTCGGAACCCTTAAAGAAGCTGCTCGGCCACACCTTTACTCTTTCCCATCCTCTCTTTCAAAGTCAGACCACCAGGAATGTTTTCCAGTTTTAGGGAATATTGTGAAAATATAATCTTTGTTGTGTTTTTAGGAATATGGGGACAGTTACTAAGAACACTTTTGAATAATGCAGTGCTTTTTAAATATGTATTTAGACATATAGTCATAGCTTCACATTATTCCCAAGTATTTTTTTAAAAAATGTTACTATTTGAGTTAATTAGTACTTACATGCAGCTACTTAGTTGTTTTAGTTACATTGTTCATATAATTGTTTTGAATATCTAATAAATATTTCCATAGCTTCTTGACAATGTAAATCAATTAAGTTGTCTTTTTTGTGGCCTAGAGTCTAGAAAATAGCAGTGTGGAGAAAACACTCTGTATCTTGTGAATTCATTTTTCTTTCTTCCCTGTGTTCCCTGGTTATGGTTTTATAATTTTGACTGTATGATTTATAAAGCAGTGACATGGTCTAAATGCCTTGGTATACATAGGAATTAGAAATGTTTTATTAAAAGCAAATAAGATTATTAAGTTAATAAAAAGCATGCGACATAAAGTGGCTTGATATTCATGTGTCCTGTTTGCTATCTAAAATGTATATGGTTATATCATTAAGATTCCTATTGAGTATGGTAGGTTTGTAATAAATATATTTTGAGGATGTGGGTGACTGGATTTTTAAAAATCTTATATAATAACAATTGCTTTTTACTGAGTCTGGCTAAGGTTTTGTTTAGAGTAATCTGAAACTTCAGTGTGGGGAAGGAAGGTCAGACTGTTTGAGTATGCATTGGATTCAGGAACCTAGTCCTAGCCAGCATAAGGCATGGCCATTTTTCTCTGCATGGGATAAGATCACACCCACTCCTCTCTGGGAATTTGCAGAATGAGCGGGGTAATTCAAAGGAATCATTACAAATTTTCAACTTGATTTTTAAAATTAATAATTATTTTTGAAAAGTTCATGAAACATATGTATGTATACAGGTTGGTGATACTATTTTTATAATTGGTCAGATGCAAGATTATGTGTCAGATTAAAGAGGTCAATAGATATGTATTGACTTTCTGAAGTTAAGATTTAAAAAATCCAGAAGTATTTTAATAAGCTTCGTGTTTATCAAGGAAAATTCCTTAATTGAATGAAAATGGTTTATATTTACTTACTTAAGAAGTATTTAATTTAGGAGAGTTCAACACTTTAATAACTGATGTTTAGAGTAAATTCAATTTAGAAAATTAAGCCCTTTTTCAGGAGCTCATTTTAAGTACCAGGTGGCTCAGTGGTAAAGAATCTGCCAGCCAATGCAGGAGATGTAAGAGATGTGGGTTCAATCCCTGGGTTGGGAAGATCCTCTGGAGAAGAAAATGGCAACCCACTCCAGTATTCTTGCCTGGGAAATGCTATGGACAGAGGAGCTTTGTGGGCCATAGTCCATGGGGTCACAAAGAGTCAGACACAACCTAGTTACTAAACAACAGGAACAAAGGTGCAGTTAAGTGTAGAAATACAAAACTGGACATTGGATCCTGAATCCCTCAATTAAAATCCTAGTCTTATCATGTACTAGCTGAAAGGCTTGGGAACATTATTTAATTTTTCAGTTTCCTCATCTATAAAATAGTTATAATATTTCTACTAACTTGATAGATTTGTTGTGAGGATTTAATGAATTAACAGGTCTAAAACACAGAGAAGAACCCTAGCCTACAGTAACTGCTTAAGAGGTGTTAATTACCTCTGTTCGGACTTAAAAAAGATGTAAAAGAGCCACTGTGATATGATCTTTCATTATTGTTACTCATGTCAAGGCACACAGAACTCATTCTTGAGCCTCAGAAAGAGGTAAGAAGCAGTGTTCCACTGTCCAATTATGTGATTTGCCCGCTGTGCAACTCCAGGGGACATTGTTCACATTGTAGTTTATGTGAACGTGCTGTCTGGCATTGTGCAGTGTACAGCCTGGTCAACTGTGCAGCGGTCATACGAGGAAAATGTGCACATTACATGGCTTCAATTATTCATAGTATAATTATGGATAGTAACCAGTTGCCTCTGTAATTCCTGTAATGAACTTCACAAAACAAGCTGTCTCCTTGGTGGTTTAGCTGCCAAGTCGTGTCCGACTCTTGCCCTAATTCTTGTAATGAACTTCACAAAGCAAACCCTCTCCTGAGGCTATGAGACTGACTCTTAACTGGAAAGGAAGAGCCAAAGGCTAAGAGGTTTATGAGAAGCATCATGGACACCAAGTCTTCCAGTTCTAAATGAAAACCGGTTTCGAGTATTAAGCAACTGGGAGTGGTAATTGGTGGAAGTAAATAATTACATCTTTCCTATGGTTTGCCCATCAGTCAGGGCTGGCTGGAATCGCTTGGCAAGGTTATTCTGATTTTAGAATTTTAACTGTTGGAGAGGCTCAGGAGGAAATTAACTTTCATATATTTACCAGCATTGGAAATTGGATTGCTTCATCAGTGAAGAGAAGGAAGGATACGTCAAAGATTTTCCTTCTGTTAAAAATCTGGGCCACTTAGCATACACTTCTTTTCTTAACAGTTTGCTTTCTGGATGTTCTATAGAGAAAGTGGTTGAATGGTGTTCTGCTCTATTTGGGGCTTCCCTCATAGCTCAGTCAGTAAAGAATCTGCCTGCAATGTCGGAAACTCCGGTTCGATCCCTGGGTCGGAAAGATCCTCTGGAGAAAGAAATGGCAACCCACTCCAGTCTTCTTGCCTGGAGAATCCCATGGACAAGAGGAGCCTGGCAGGCTACAGTCTATGGTATCCCAAGAGTCGGACACGACTTAGCGACTAAATCACCACCGCTGCTGTATTTAGAACACATTCTAACTCAGAACTTGGTATTTAAACTTTTCTTTTTTTTCGAGCATGAACACTATTAACTTGTTTAAAACATTGTGCTTTAAACATCTTTGGATTTCAAATGCCTGTATTAGTTTTGTAATGAGTAAATCTTTACATAATAATACTGTAACATGAAATTAAATGGCTTATTGTCTGGCTAAGCCAGGCTTAGCATCTGGCTTATTGTCCAGATGCTATGGGAGTGTTATTTGACAGACCATGTTTCAGATTTAATGGACTTTTGTAATAACTGACCAGTAGTCTCCTTTGAAGACAAACATTGTTTTGAAAAGTTTAAATCTTTGAAGACAAGTATTTTTCAACCACAAAACCTTTCCCCAAAATGTTTACTTGGTATTGTGTAAAACAGATCAAGCAAACATGGGAAACAGATAAGTGTTAAATTTTACACCAGGCTGGTGTTCCTCACACGGTGCCCTCTCAATGAATCTAGAAGACTAAACAGTTAAAATCTGGGGTAATGCTCCAAGTTTAAAATTTTGTTATTTCCCTACGCCCACTATCATAATTATTTAAAATTCAGGTTTAATTTTTTTCTGTCAGTTTTCAAAAAATTAATCTCATAACTGTTTTTGATATGCCCTTTCACTCAAGAAAAATGTAGGTTCTTTCTTGACATTAATGTCAATTGTTTAAAATAGGAAGGCAGAATATTAAGGCGTTATCAAGTTTCATCTTTATTACTAAAATATTACAAATAATAGGAAGTAGAGTCTTACAAAGCACTTTATATTTTCCGGAACACTTTTTTGCATTCATTGCTGTTTTATTTTTTCTATGGTCATTCTCATTAGTCAGGGGGATATGATTATTCTTATTTGACAGCTGAGGAAGCAAAACCTGGAGTGAGTCAGTGGTACAGGCATAGATTGAAGTCAGTGACTTAGCTTTTATGTATTACCTCTCTAGGCAACCTTTGTATGGTCATAGGTTGGTGGAATTAACTCAAAACCTCTGAACAGGTCTTCCAACTTTCACACCCCACCCTTCAATAACAAAAGATGTACAGTCCAACTCCACAATGCTTTTGAGAACATTGTTCTTTTCCCATCACCACACCATTTCGAAACTCTGGGTGGCTCCCCACTTCTAAAAGGATTTCACTACCCTTCACAGAATGCACTTTTCTGTCTGACCCTCATCTGCCATCCTAACTCACATCTGGTTTCTCCAATGCAGCCAAACTAGTATGTCCCTCGCCCCTAGGCAAGCGCTGTAGTTGTGCCTGCCTTAGCTCATGCTGGGCTGACGACGAAATACATGTCCCTGTGGCCCATCTATATTTATCAGAGAGCAGCCCGAATCTCTCCTGGTCCGTGGACCCTGGTTTGCCTACCTCACTTTTTTTTTAAAAATTTTTTTTGATGTGGACTGTTTTCTAAATCTTTATTGAATTTGTTACAATACTGTTTCTGTACTTTTTATGTTTTGGTTTTTTGGCCCCAAGGCATGTAGGGTCTTAGCTCCCCAACTTGGAATCGAACCCACACCCCCAGCATTGGAAGGTAAAGTCTTAACCACTGGACCACCAGGGAAGTCCCTGCCTAGCTCACTTCTGACTGACACTGCCTTCCACTAATGGGATTAAGAGTAGTCCAGCCCTGTCCAGTTGAAATAAAGTAACGAATGTGAATCACATATCAAATTTAAAAATTTTTAATATTCATATTAAAAAAGGTTAAAAAGGTGAAATTAATTTTTTCAATGTACCCCAAGTACGTTGAATACCCAAGTATTTTAAGGTACCCAAAATACTGTCATTTCAATATATAGTTGACATAAAAATTATTGATGACATATTTTATGTTCTTTTTTGGGCTTCCCCTGTGGCTCAGTGGTAAAGAATCTGCCTGCAGTTCAGGAGACACAGGTTCAATTCCTGGGTCGAGAAGATCCCCTGGAGGAAGGCATGGCAATCCACTCCAGTATTCTTGCATGGAGAGGAGCCTGGCAGGCTGCAGTCCATAGGGTCGCAAAGAGTTGGATGCAATTGAGCACATATGCATGCATGTTCTTTTTTTTCATACAGAGTCTTCAAAATAAAATGTATACTTTACGCTTAACAGCACATCTCAATACAGATCAACCACGTTTCATGTGGTTAATAGCCACATGTGGCTAGTGGCTACCGTATTGGACAGAGCAGTTCTAGACCACTTAGTTTAATAATTATACATGACGCTATATTGTTGTGTAAATAACTTGTGTATGTTTGTATATGAGCCTGTAAAATTTTCCTGAGGGAGCTTCCCCCCATGACTGGCATAGAGGCACTGTGGTGGGGGTTATAGTTTAGAGAGGCCTCAATCATTCATTTACCCGTTCTTTGAACAACTGTGTGTCCACTGTAAGGTAGATATTATGGTAGGCGTTGGGGATGCAAAGAGGAACAAAACAGCGCTCTGTGTAAGGACCTTACAGCCACTCCAGAGCCCGAGGGGTAACTGAGAGGGGTACGCTTCAGAGAAGGGAAAGAAACTCCCCTAAGCATGTGGCAGCCTGATTCTGCAACAACGCTATTCCAGCATTCCCTGCCGCGTATCCCCTAGCTTCCCAGGCTGGTCACTGGTCGGGACACATGGCTTACCAGGCTCCCTGCGGTTCCTTTAGTGCAGAAATGACCGTCTGGAAAGGTGGGGAAGTCATACAACTGCCAGATTGCTCTTTACAACATTCTTGGGTCAATGAAATTCGTTAGATTGACATTCATTAGTTGCACTGTCATAATAGAAACAGACTCGAACAGGAGGGTGTGATACCAATTTTCTGCTTGACCATTGCCATGACAGAGAAGGCTAAGAAATGCTGGCTAACAGGTGGTCTATTCTAATTTTAAGCATATTTAATTTTTAGAAAGTTGTTTCATGAGCTCTATCTCCCTGTAACTTCTTGAAGTCCAATTATGTCGATTGTTTAGATGAGGATGTGGGGGAAACTGATGCTTAGGCCAACCCAACTTATTGTTGATAAAATGAGGAATTAGTATTAGGGATTTAAAAAATATTCATTATGGTATATTTCACTATTTTTATAGCTATGTGGAACTGATTGTGACCAGTTTTTTTCTTCATTAAAACAGCACAGTTAAAGAGCACACTGGCCTGTAACATCTAGTCTAGTTCTTTGCTCTCCAGATTCCACTACTCTTTTATCTAATATTATAGAAAACTTTCCCAGTCAGTAAAGTTTTACTTTTCTGGAAAACTGGCTTATAAAATATTTTTTTCTCCCTAAAGATTAGATATCTTTTGCACATAATGGCTAAACATAAACATGCTTTTCTTAATAACCCTCCCAGCTTCTCCAGAATCAAACATTGCTTTGATTTTAATTCAATGGTCTTAGACTAGTTAAAAACATGTCAGGTATCAAGACCAGGCATGTACAATTCTTAGCCATGTGCTTAAGAGATATATATAACCTTGGGAACTAGACCTCTTTCTCTTTTATGTGTTTTCCTTTGTGTACTAGAATAAAAGCATGACTTTAAAGAAAGTGAAGATACTGTGGAAAATAAAGGTGCAATCAGGATTAATTAGTTCACCAACTAAATATGCTAAATGGCGACTTTCAAATTCGTTTCTATCTGGCTTAGTTTTCCATGTGAAAATACAGCACTAAAATGAAAAGCAACAAAAGGGGGAAATTGGTAATCTTTGCAGTTTCATTTTAAAATGTTTATTTCCACTGAATTCTTTTTAGAATTTATAATAGGGATTCAGCAATCAAATTAACATTCTCTAACAAGGAGGGAAACAGGGAAAGTTTGCAATTATTAGGGAAAAAAAAAAAAAAGAACTTACCATTAAAATGGCCAGAGCCCCTGTGGTTTTGAAAGGGAGCCAAGCCATGGTTTCTGATTTCCCTGGTGAACGAAGGGAGCTGCCGCTTTAGTCCTTCCAACCGTCGGCATACGATGTCTCAGGAAAGCCCTTTCTCAGCGACTCCTGTCTTCAGGAGTCTGCAGATGGCCTGTTATGCAGAGCCTCCCCGCCCTAAACCAAGGATTGGTCTCACCAGAATGCTTGCATCACTTTTGCTCCCAGGTAAAAACTTAGACACACCTCAATTCCTGAAGCAATGAAATCCTTTGTTGGAAGCTGAAAGAGAAGTTCACAGGCTAAAAACCAGTTCTAATAGGAAGGTACCAGATGAATAATAAATTAATCACAGTGTGGAAGGGCAAAAGCTATCCTTGACTACACTGTAAAAGGATCTAGTTGGCTGGCTCTCATGGTGCCAATTAAAACTGAAAAGTAAAACAAAACATTCAAAATTCCCCCAATCTAACTTGTGGAAGAGCACTTATTTTTAGCTTGAGTATGTGTGAGTAGATTTAAAGTTGAGCAAAATATATTTGGGGGGCTTCCCAGGTGGCACAGTGGTAAAGAATCTGTCTGCCAGTGCAGGAGACGTTAGTTCGATCCCTGAGTTGGAAAGATCTCCTGGAGAAGGAAATGGCAATCCACTCCAGTATTCTTGCCTGAAAAATTCCATGAACAGAGGAGCTTAGTGGGCTACAGTCCATGGGGATCTCAAAGTGTTAGACACAACTGGGCAATTGAGCACACACACGCAAAATATATTTTAGGTGTTAAGCAATATATACGTTTTTTGAAAGAAACTGCAGATCTGAAGAAGAAAATCATCACATCAAGCAGTTATTAATAATAGGTTTTGAGTGAAAACAATTAGAAATAAAATTAGACTAAACACAAATGGTGCCTTGGATATTTGAAATCTATAAACCGTGTGTTGCAAAATCAGGTATCTGATAATACTCAGTTGACATCTTTCTGCTGTATTTCTTTTCATTTATAAATTTTAAAAAATGTAGTTTGCAGGGTCTTCCCTGGTGGCCCAGTGGTTAAGAATCCACCTCCTGGTGCAGGGGACGTGGGTTCGATCCTAGGTTGGAGAACTAAGATCCCACATGCTGTGGTGCAACTAAGCTTGTATGCCACTGCTACTGAAGCCTTTGTGCTTTCAGCATTCCAGATTTTTTTAAAGGTTTGGTAGAAGAACAATATTATCTTTAGAAGTATTTATGCATCAGGTTTTGGAAGCTTTTTAGTTTCAGAAAAACCATTTAATGAGAGTATTTCAGACAGAAAGGACTTCATAGTCAAGGAGTTGGGAAAAAAACACCTTATAGGCAAGACGTTGTGCATTTGGGGGTTTTGTGTGTGTATTTGTAAAAATTTTGGTAAAGTACACGTAATAAAATTTACTATTTTAACTATTTTCAAGTTACAGCTGAGTGACATTAAAGGTATTCACATTGTTGTACAGCCATCACTACCACCCATTTCCAGAAAAAAATCTTGATTTTGTGATAAAGTTTTTGTAAATGAAGTTTTATTGGAACACAGCCACTCCCATTTGTTTATGTGTTGTAAATGGCTGCCTTTGTGGTGAAAGGGCCAAGTTGAGGGGAGTTGAGAATTGGACAGAGACTGTATGGCTGCAAAGCCAAAACTATTCAATACTAACTTATAGGAAATGGGCTTCTCTGGTGGCTCAGACAATAAAGAATCTGCCTTCAAGGCAGGAAACTCAGGTTTGATCCTGGGTTGGGAAGATCCCCTGGAGAAAGTAATGGCAATCCACTCCAGTATTCTTGCCTGGAAAATCCCATGGACAGAGAATCCTGGTGGTCTATAGTCATGGGGTCACAAAGAGTGGGGCACAACTTAGTGACTGAAGTTCCACCACCACCACCAATTTATAAGAAATGTTGGCTTTATTTATTTACTTTCAGAAAACACTTGAAAACTGGTGACTAACATTGTATACCTTAAATAGCATTTGTGGCAAATCTGTTGGGTGTTGATGCTAATGGAGGAATAATTAATGAATCGTTTAAACTTAAAAACTTGGAAATTTTCCAAAGATCAGGTTTGATATCCTTTGTAGAATTCCCTCTGAGTTTCATAATGTGTATTTTATTCACTTTTTGATTAGAATCATAAAGTGAACAAACACTGAATCCTTTCTAACATGGAAAGACCGAAGCACAAGGCAAAGTCTTTCTTGAATTAGGAAGTGGTTTCTCCATGACAGGACTAGCTAACAAATTTAGGAGGATAGAAGCTGAGATGAGCTTTATTGAACTTATTATTGATTTGTGTAATGCAGAATTCAGCAATTGAAATGTTTGTTACTTGTGAATTTAGCATCTGAATTTGTTTAACATTGGTGAGAGTTTTGGGTTTAGATGTATGTGTACTGGGGCCATTTTCTTATAAGATAATGAAAAGAAATGCATATGGGTAAAGTAGAATGGTTAAAAAAAATTTTTTAAAAGAGAGCTTATTAGCTTTACAATTAGAAAAGAAAGTTCTTTAAAAATAAAATGAGCACAGAAAGTCTTTATGTATAACATTCTAAACTTTGGGGCAGGGAAAAAGAGAAGAAATGAACTTCAGTTGCTTCCTTTTCTATAATATCTTGCAATTTCTTCAAAGCAGAGTTAGTGGAGGATGAAGGAGCTTGTTATACTACAGTTCATGGGGTTGCAAAGAGTCAGACATTACTTACAAAACAATTATTCTGCTAAAGACAAAAGAGATTTTAAAATGATAGCAGTGAATTATGATATTCCTAGGAATACCCATAAATTGCATTGTGGACTTAATTCTAGATATGGCTCATCTTTTTTCCTCCTGATTTGCCTTTCCTAAAATTCTAGTTCTTTGACAATTTTAATTAATTAGGCTTAAAAATATTAATTATCACTTTGCTCTTTCCTCACCTAAACACAGGTTAAGGATTTAACTGGTACTTCCGTTTTGTATTTTGAAATACCAGTAAGTAAATTCTTGGTTGGGTGGTGAAAATAGAGTATGGGCACCCTTGTAGGAGAGTTATATATCATATATAGCCTGATGCAGGCTAAGTTAAGGAGGGCTGTAGAAAGGAAGGACAGATCCCTTTGTCCACAGGTAGGCAGACAGGACTCCCCTAATCTTCTAGGCGGTCTAGATAATGCTTTAAGCTAGCACTTCTTTTTCTTTGTAGGACTGGGGAGCTCAGTAAGGTAATACAACATCCTTGTATTGGGGCCACATTTACAAGACAACAGGAAGGGAGACTGAGGTTACCCCTGCTGGGTAGTGCCTTTGCCTTCTGGACTCAGCGTGTTTTCACTTGCTAATTTGTTTGTTTTTGTTTGTGAAAAGGAAAGAAGGGAGGATTTTCCAGTGGTTTCTGTTGAGAGATCATGTTATTACTCTCCAAATAATGGCTTTGGAAACATAAGCCCCAACTTGAAGCTAGCTTTTACTCAAGAAGCTGAAATGAAAATGAGGATCATATTAATAATCATAATCATGGAAAAGAAGCTTCATTGTACGTGTGTATTGTGCTTCATTTGATGCATCGTATTAAAAATATAAGAATGGAACAATAGATACATCATAGGTTAAAGAAGAAACTGTTCTTCAGTCTGCTGAAAACTGAACGTGAAATAAGAAGTGAAGCAATAAGTATGAGTGTTTATTTAAGTGGCAGTGGCTTCAGAGGTTCCCATGATGTCCCCAGTGTCCCTAATTTCCTACAGTAGTTCTGTTATTCATCAAGTAGAGAATCTTAATAAGACTGCCTTCACTGTCAAGCCTTTACTGGTTTTAGCTAGATTTAACTGGAAATGCATATAATGTATCTTACATGTCAGACATCACTACTTTTTGATATTTAATGGTTCTTGAATGTCCACCAATTCATGAATTAAAGTATGGGTTCCACAAATTATGCATTAACAAAATGTTACACACATCCCAAAATGGCCTGTCACCGTAGTGATCCATCACTTTTTGTTATTCAAGATAATGGGAATCATGCACTTCCATTAAGATCATCACTTGAAGGCATCCAGAAATGTCAGAGAACATCATAATCGTGCATTTGGAGAGAACAGCCTACAACTGTAAAAATCAGTGAAAATAGAGCTTTGATCTAATTTTCTATTAGATGGTATGCAACATGGTTACCATGGTTCTGTGATTCCTGGAATTCTTTTTTTCAAAAGATTTGTGTAATTTTTATCATATACTGATTCAAACCCAAACTTCAGAAGAGTAAATACAGGTGAACGTGCATTTAAAAATTTTCATTTATGTTGTGGACCAGGGTCTACTTCTTTTGGCTTTGTTTAGTCTGATTAGGCAATGGCTTATTTGTGGAAATATTTTTGTTAGGTAATAAAGAGTGAGAAGGGAGGAATTTTCCAAAAGAACCTCATGTTCACTTCAACAGTTTCTTTAGAAAAAACTTTTCTTTGGTTCTTGTGGTTGAGTGAGTGAAAGTCACTCAGTCGTGTCTGACTCTTTGCGACCCCATGTACTATACAGTCCATAAAATTCTCTAGGCCAGAATACTGGAATGGGTAGCCTTTCCCTTCTCTAGGGGATCTTTCCAACTCAGGGATCGAACCCAGGTCTCCCACATTGCAGGGGGATTCATAACCAGCTGAGCCACAAGGGAAGCCCAAGAATACTGGAGTGGGCAGCCTATCCCTTCTCCAGCGGATCTTCCCAATCCAGGAACCAAACTGGGGTCTCCTGCATTGCAGGCAGACTCTTTACCAGCTGAGCTATCATGGAAGCCATAGGTGGAATCTACTTATAAGACCTATTTTTGAATCCGTCTGGTTCCCTCCTTCTCTGGGCTCCCACGCTTGCCAGATTCCTGGAATCTCTCAAGGTAGCCTAGGCAAGGGGCCTAGGAAGCAGTTCCTGTTTCTTTCTCGCCTCTCACCCAGTCTGCCTCTCAGTCAGAACCTGACTGCTATTTGTAAAAGCATCGCAGCTTGCAGTGCACTTGGAAGAGAATCAAAGCCACCTGGTGTGGC